TTTTTCTCGCCCGGAATGGGGCTTTTAGTGGAAATCTCCCATCAACTCGAGGGTCTTCAGGGACTCGAGCAATACGGCACAGTCGGGTGATCAGTGAAGGGGAGTAGTGGCCCTTGGTTAGCTCAGGTGATCTAATGAACATCTCTTCATGGATGAGTCGAGCCACATCAAAATCACTGTGGGATATGAAACAGTAGATTGCGGATACCCGTGGTAGATTAACATCTATCGTGTTGCTGGATAGCAACAATCGACTGTTGATAATGGTGAGCTAACACTTAGCCTTCCAATTCAGACAGTGGGAGTTGAGAGTAATATTGTGCTTGATCCATAGGTGTTCTCCGTCCGGCATACAGATAGTATCAAGAAGAGTGCCCCACAAGGCCCGTGTTCCGCTAAAAGTACAATAAGGATCAAATTCACCTCGAAACACAGGCAGCCTGTATACCCTGCGGATGGTGTCAAGGGATGCATTTACCGGGGTATTGTGCACCATCACAACCCCATTCTCATGTTATGGAAAGTTCGCATAGAACTCCCTTACTAGTTGAACATTATCCTCCCCCGGTACCTCGAAGAAGATGTCCAACTAACACCGCCTCAGATCATTAAACATATTGGGGCATTCCACCTCCAAAGTCGCTCGATCAATGTACACCTCAGGTTGTAACTTCTTAGCTGCTTTTTGGTTGTACCTATCCTCCGCTGCTCTGGATACAAACCGAGTGCTATCGAACTGAGGTGAACTGGCTTGGCTCCTAGCTCGTGAGGAGCCCCCCAGTCCATTAGTGGAGGGTCCAGTGTTTCGTCGCTTCCTGGAAGAACTCATTGTACCTGTCATACAACGAAACGCCTATTAGTGAGTGCACAAAATATGTGACTATGGATGGTTACTCAAACTTCACCATAACCATGTCACAATAGCTCCTTATATCGCCATTGGGGCAATTTTCCAAACACCTTGTGAGCAGGGCACTATCTAGACACAAATAGCCCTCATGGGTACATCAAAGCTCCTCCCCAATAAAGTATACTACCACACAAACACACCCCACACTTACTTCATTCAATCACCCACTAATAACACCGTTCAAACATGCAATGCACAACCCTTTCACCAATCAAAATCAAAAACAAAATTTAAAAGCAAAAACAAGAAGAAAAAGAGTATACCGACAATTATATCCCAACACAATATAAAATTACATAAACTACAACATAATACTAAAGAAAAGAGAAAGAAGAGGTGAGGAACATACCGTAGTTGAAGAATGGGGAGAGGAATGGAGGTGAGGGATATTAATATAAGGGAAGAAGAAGAAGAGAGTATTTGAGGGGTTAGGTTTAGAGAGAGAGAGAAATTGAAAATATGGGGAAGGGGATCCGGTGTGTTGGGTTTAAGAGGGGGGAGTTTGGGTTGTAAAATTAAAAGAGGACGAAAAGAAATAAGAAAAACGGAAAAAAATAAAAAAAAATTAAAATTACCTGGGACCCACCACGGTCAACCGCGGTGGGTTTAAAAATTCGAGGCAGAAAGTTCACGCTTCACCGCGAGTTACCGCGATCCACCACGGTCGCGGTGAGGTGAAAAATCTGAGACAAAATGTTTGCCTTCCACCGCGGTTTACCGCGGTACACCGCGGTCTCGGTGCTAGCGCCATTTTCTATTATTTTTTTTTGTATATGAAGTTACATGAACACACTAACAACACACTCATGGGTTGCGTCCCATGCAGCGCCTGATTTAACATTGCAGCACGATGCAAGCATTTGATCATCATTCCTCATCCGCGTATTGGGGCTCTTCCAAAGTGATTACCACTCTATCTCTTTTTTCTTCAGCCATTCCAAGGTAATGTTTCAACCTTTGCCCATTTACTGTGAACTTGTTTGTCCCATCTTCTGATTCAATCTTTACAACTCCACTTAAGAACAATTGCACCACTCTGAAGGGTCCTGACCATCGTGACTTTAACTTATCTAGGAACAATCTCAATCTCGAGTTGTATAACAACACTAGATCTCCGGGTTTGAAGTTTCGATCTAAGATGTGCTTATCATGCATTAATTTCATCCTTTCTTTGTATAATCTAGCACTCTCAAAGGCCTGGAACCTGAATTCCTCTAGCTCATGTAACCCAGTGATTTTGTTAGTACCTGTTGTCTCCATGTCTAAGTTTAACTGCCGCAATGCCCAATGTGCTTTATGCTCTAGCTCAACTGGGAGGTGGCATGCCTTTCCAAATACCAACTTGTACGGTGACATACCAATTGGGGTTTTAAAGGCTGTGTGGTACGCCCACAATGCATCATCCAATTTCTTTGCCCAGTCAGTCCTTGTTGCATTCACTGTTTTTGTGAGGACACTTTTAATCTCCCTGTTGGATGCTTCAACTTGCCCGCTCGATTGTGGGTGGTACGAGGTGGTCACTTTATGACGAACTCCATATTTTCCAACATCCATACGAATGCTCTATTGCAGAAATGGGTTCCGCCATCACTGAGTATAGCTCTTGGGGTACCAAAATGTGTGAAAATGTTCTTCTTTAGAAAATCTAGTACCCCTTTAGGGTCATTGGTCGGGAGAGCCACCACTTCGACATACTTGGAGACATAGTCAACTGTTGCCAATATGTACTTGTTACCATACGAGTTGACGAATGGCCCCATGAAGTCAATCCCCCACATGTCAAAAATCTCCACCTCTTGAATTGTGGTCATTGGCATCTTGTGTCTACGAGATATGTTGCCAGTCATTTGGCAATCATCGCAGATTTTAACCCAAGCATGGGCATCCTTGAACAGAGTAGGCCAGTACAAGCCTGACTCCAACACCTTAGCTGCTGTCCGAATTTCTCTAAAGTGTCCACCATATGGTGAAGCATGGCAAGCCTGCAAAATAGAATGTTGATCTTTCTCGGGGATACACTGCCCGATAATGTTATCTACACATATTTTAAACAATAGAGGTTCATCCCAATAATAATATCGACAATCACGAAAGAACTTTTTCTTTTGAATTGAGGAAAGTTCATAAGGTACAATACCACTTGCTAAATAATTAGCAATATTAGCATACCAAGGTGCCTCCTCCATTGTCATTGCCAGTAATTGTTCATCTGGGAATGTCTCTGTTATATCCTCAACCTCTACCTTCTTTTCAGCTTCTTCCAACCTTGAGAGGTGGTCAGCTACTTGGTTCTCTGTCCCTTTTCGGTCACGCATTTCCAGATCGAATTCTTGTAACAGAATAACCCAACAAATCAAGCATGGCTTTGACTCCTTCTTTTCTATTAAGTACCTAATTGATGTATGGTTAGTGTAAACAATAACTTTTGAGCCAATCAAGTATGACCTGAATTTGTCAAATGCAAAAACAACAGGCAATATCTCCTTTTTTGTCATAGTGTAATTGAGTTGTGCACCACTTAATGCTCTTCTTGCATAATAAATCGGGTGCATCAGTTTACCCTTTCGCTGCCCCATGGCATAGTCACTTGCATCGCACATGAGCTCAAATGGTTGCTCCCAGTTGGGTGCAACAATGATGGGTGCAGTCACCAATCTCTTCTTCAGATCCTCAAATGCCAACCTGCAATCATTAGAAAACACAAAGGGGTGATCCTTTTCAAGGAGTTTGCATAATGGGTTAGCAATTTTGGAGAAATCTTTTAGGAATCGCCTGTAGAACCCGGCGTGCCCAAGGAAACTTCTCACCACCTTGACTGAGGTGGGCAGTGGTAGTTTTTCAATCATATAAACCTTAGCATGGTCGACCTCAATTCCTTTACTGGACACTCGATGTCCTAGGACTATCGCTTCATGTACCATAAAATGGCACTTCTCCCAGTTCAACACTAAATTTGTCTCCACTCATCTTTTGAGCACTTTTCTTATGTTGTGAAGACAGTCCTCGAATGAATCTCTCACCATGGAGAAATCATCCATAAAGACCTCCATAATATCCTCCACCATGTCTGTGAAAATAGCTAACATGTACCGTTGAAATGTCGTCGGTGCATTGCAAAGCCCAAAAGGCATTCTCCGAAAGGCGAAGATGCCATACGGACAAGTGAAGGATGTTTTCTCTCTATCTTCAGGGGCTATTGATATCTGATTGTACCCCGAATAACCATCCAAGAAATAGAAGTGTGAGCGCCCGGCCAGCCTGTCCAACATTTGGTCAATGAAAGGCAAGGGGAAGTGGTCCTTCCGGGTGGATGTATTCAATTTTCGGTAATCTATGCAAATCTGCCATCCTGTGACTGCGCGAGTTGAGATCAACTCATTGTTCTCATTTTGCACAACAGTCATTCCCCCCTTTTTCGGCACACATTGGACAGGGCTGACCCAATTGCTATTAGAGATAGGGAAGATGATTCCCGTATCTAACCATTTGATCACTTCCTTCTTTACTACCTCTTTCATGTACGGGTTCAGCCTTCATTGATGTTCTCTGGAAGGTTTGTGCCCTTCTTCCAAGAGAATCTTGTGCATACAGAAGGCTGGGCTGATACCCTTTATGTCTGCCATGGTCCAGCCAATGGCAGTCTTACTTTCCTGCAGTACCTATAAGAGTTGTTCTACCTGCACATCTAGCAAACCGGATGATATAATAACAGGCAAAGTAGAATCAGGGCCTAAGAAAATGTACCTGAGGTGAGCTGGGAGCGGCTTCAGCTCCATCTTAGGTGGTTCCTCTACTGATGGCTTTGCTGGAAGTGTAGCCCTTTTTCTAACTCAAGGGACTCGAACTGAGGGTCCCTTTTCTAGAATCCTTGGCCTTTAAGTGCCATGACCCACTCAGCTAACCCTTTACCATCGATCTCTTCTAAATTTGTCAGACATGCCTCCAATGGATCTTTAGCAGTCAGGGTCACATCATCTTCTTGCAGAATCATATCCACTGCCTCCACTAGAGAGCAATTAGCATATTCACTGGGTCTCCTCATAGATTGTTGAACATTGAATATGACTTCTTCATCGTTCAGTCTCATTTTTTATTCCCTAGTCTCACAATCGATCAGTGCTCTCCCAGTGGCCAAAAATGGCCTACCTAAAATGATAGTTATCTCCTCATCTACCTGACAGTCCAGAATAACAAAGTCTGCAGGGAACACAAACTTCCCCACGTGCACCAACACATCATCAAGAATCCCAGTAGGCCTTTTTACCGTGCGGTCAGCTAGCTGCAGCAGCATCGAAGTCGGTCTAGCTTTGCCAATGCCCAGTTTGGTGTATACAGCCAGAGGCATCAAATTTATGCTGGCTCCCAAATTACATAATGCCTTTGCAAAGGCATAACTCCTAATCGTGCATGGAATAGTGAAGCTACTTGGGTCTGACATCTTTTGAGTCATCGGTTTGGTCACTATTGCGCTGCAGGTCTGCGTTAGAGTCACTGTGGATAGGTCATGAAAATCAAACTTCCATGACATTAGGTCTTTCATCATCTTCGCATAACCTGGCATCTCCCTTAAGGCATCCATCAAAGGAATATTCAACTGAATTTGACGCAGCATCTCCATGAATTTCTTGTATCCTTTTTTTGTTTTACCAGTCTCTAAGGGAATGGTGCCGGTATCACCCTTTGTGCACTGTTTGCTGGCTTCTCTCTATTGGGGTTCTGTGGCACAAGAGGCATTACCTGCTGTACAGCTTGTTCATTTACCTTAGCCTTACCCTTTTCATCTTGACCCTGTTCAACCACCACTTCAGTCAGATTTGATGGTTCATCTACCTCTAGTGGAATTGGAGTGGTTCGCGTAGTCTCTTTGCGAGCTTGTGCAACCTCCTGCTCTTTGTCTAAATCTCTCCCATTCCGGAGACTTACTGCCATCAACTTATTCGGGTTTGGCTCCTTGGGGTTAATATTTGTGTCCGCTGGCAATGTTCCCTGGGGCGGTTGTTTAAAGCCATAGACAGCTGCCCGAACTGAGTTTTAATGTTCTTTATAGCTGAATCATGTACTGCCAACTTTTCTTGCATCTTACCATTTGTCCCAATGAGTTGTTGGAGCATCCCCCTGATCTCTACCATGTTGTTATCTTGCTGCTGAGGAGGTGGCAGATATGTCAACTGTTGCTAGTTCTGTTGTGGGTAGCCCTGTTGTCTCTGGTGGTATGGCACAATTTGGCCTTGAACTTGCATGCCCCCAGGCTGAGGCATGTTAGGTCTGTATTGCTGATTTGGTGCTGGTCTCCACTACTGTCCTCCTTGCCTCTGACCCCCAAAGTTGTTAACATAATTCATATCGTCCCTTGCCCCTTGATTTTCACCTTCTCTGCGCCATGAATACACATAATACTGATTAACACAGGGTGTATACAGTCCTCCATTTGTCGTGTCAACAATATGCACCTGTTTGGTACCCATCTTATCTATCTTCTTTGTCAAAATACTCATCTGAGTCATAATTATGTCCATGTTCTCAACATGCGAATTATTTGGGTCAAGATGAACTGAATGCACTATGGGTGCCAGTGTTGTCCCTCTAGTCATCCACCCCGAATTCTGGGACATCTTGTCAAGAAAGACTTTGCATTCGGTGAATGTCTTACTCAAAAATGCAGCTCCAGCTGAAGCATCCACATTGGCCTTTAGATTGTCAGCTAACCCCATGTAGAATCTCTGGCCAAGCATCTGGTCTGGAATGCCATGGTGAGGACACTTCACCAGTATCCCTTTAAATCTTTCCCAAGTTTCTTGCAAGGTCTCAGTCGGTTGCTGCTTGTACTGCAATATTTCATCAATCTTCCTTGCAGTCTTGTTGGGCGGGTAGAACTTATTTAGTAACTGCTTTACTAATTCCTCCCAGGTGACAATGGAATTGATTGGGAGCGAATTCAGCCAAGTCTGAGCTTCCCCAGCCACAGAGAACGGGAACAGTAATAGCTTGATAGCTTCTGGGGTCATATTTGGCTTCCTTTGAGTCACACAAATTGACAAAAAAAATTTCAAATGTTGCTGAGGGTCTTCAATGTGTGACCCGGAGAACAATCCCTTATTCTACAGCAGATGCAGCATGTTATTGGTGATCTGGAATGTCTCCGCTTGAATTGCGGGCACAGCTATGGCAGTTGCTAGGTTGTCATCTGTGGGTTGAGCCTAATCATAAAGTGCAGCTTCTAGCACAAGAGGTGCCACCATTCTGACATTTGGGTTAGCTGGCTCATCCCTGATGTTTCCGTTGACGTTCTCTACGTCATCCATGTCAAATTCAAGCTTGTGTGGTTGTTGTGTTTGTTGGATCCTCCTGTTGGCACGAAATTCAAGCTTCTATGGGTTATCGTAATTATCTCTCAATCAACTATAATAATTTACTAGAGCATTCTCACGAACTACTCTAGCTGACAATAGTTCTGCAACTCTAAAGTATCCCACCAAAGTTTTGTTATCTCTAAACCCACTTATAAGTTCAAGTAATGAATCTCTTCAATTACCCAAAAGTGGTGTTGTTCAACCGCTATCTAACCTAATACTCTTTCTCAAGCAATATAAGGTAATTAGACACAATTAATCAAGGGCTCATTCAATTAATCACCATACAAAACATAGTTGAACAATCATATCATAAATCCGGCTCGATTATAACAACTTGAGTCAAAACTTCAACCGACAATTGGTTCCATCAACCCTAGATAAGTATTTAGCTACTCATAACAAAACAAGAGAAAACTACTAAATTGTTCATAATGTAAAATTGCAAGAATTAAAAGGAGATAAAAAAACT